ACCTCCCCGTATAACTTACTGTATAGATATCGCCCTGTCTACCTCCCTGTATAACTTACTGTATAGATATCGTCCTGTCTACCTCCCTGTATAACTTACTGTATAGATATCGCCCTGTCTACCTCCCCGTATAACTTACTGTATAGATATCGCCCTGTCTACCTCCCCGTATAACTTACTGTATAGATATCGTCCTGTGTACCTCCCTGTATAACTTACTGTATAGATATCGCCCTGTGTACCTCCCCGTATAACTTACTGTATAGATATCGTCCTGTCTACCTCCCCGTATAACTTACTGTACAGATATCGCCCTGTCTACCTCCCCGTATAACTTACTGTATAGATATCGTCCTGTGTACCTCCCCGTATAACTTACTGTATAGATATCGTCCTGTTTACCTCCCTGTATAACTTACTGTATAGATATCGCCCTGTCTACCTCCCTGTATAACTTACTGTATATATATCGCCCTGTGTACCTCCCTGTATAACTTACTGTACAGATATCGCCCTGCCTACCTCCCTGTATAACTTACTGTACAGATATCACCCTGTCTACCTCCCTGTATAACGTACTGTATAGATATCGTCCTGTCTACCTCCCCGTATAACGTACTGTATAGATATCGCCCTGTCTACCTCCCCGTATAACTTACTGTATAGATATCGCCCTGTGTACCTCCCTGTATAACTTACTGTATATATATCGCCCTGTGTACCTCCCCGTATAACTTACTGTATAGATATCGCCCTGTGTACCTCCCTGTATAACTTACTGTATAGATATCGCCCTGCCTACCTCCCCGTATAACTTACTGTATAGATATCACCCTGTGTACCTCCCCGTATAACTTACTGTATAGATATCACCCTGTGTACCTCCCCGTATAACTTACTGTATAGATATCGCCCTGTCTACCTCCCTGTATAACTTACTGTATAGATATCATGTTGTCTACCTCCCCGTATAACTTACTGTATAGATATCGCCCTGTGTACCTCCCTGTATAACTTACTGTATAGATATCGCCCTGCCTACCTCCCTGTATAACTTACTGTATATATATCGCCCTGTGTACCTCCCCGTATAACTTACTGTATAGATATCGCCCTGTGTACCTCCCTGTATAACTTACTGTATAGATATCGCCCTGTCTACCTCCCCGTATAACTTACTGTATAGATATCACCCTGTCTACCTCCTCGTATATGGTAAGGTATCATTTCCGTTACTGATCATTGACATTTTAGGAGCGAGCACTGTAACTGTAAAGCTATATCTTACGTTATATAGCCCTGAATGAATGAATGCAGGTACATGTGTAGAATTTGCTGTTCCGCTGTCTGTATGCAGCTAAGCAAAGAATTGTAAGAATAAGGGAATTGTAAACTGGCGGCCATTTTAAGTAATCACCACTACAGCATGTTACGGTGGGCATGGTGCCAGGGTAGGCTGCCAAAGCTTTTACGAATGGTTTGAAACTTGCGTTTTGCACTGATACGCTAAGCCAAAAGTTCTCACTTCAACATCAGCAATGTCAATTTTGTGCAACTTTTTGGTTTTATTCATTGCCTGTAGCATCGCTGGTTCCCAACAGAACCAGAGAGGTATGAAACCAAACTGAACTGTTTTGGTAAAAAAATACATGAATATATAATTTATATTGAGACCTCTTTCTCTGATTAATGGAGAAACACACTGTGAATATTAAATCCAACTTGTGTCTATGAAGCAAAGAGTCAATTATTATTTTGACATTTTTTTATATATCACACATGTGCAGGAATAATTTTGTGTCTGCGAGATCATGAAGAACCTGTATTAATAAAACTTAAAATAACCAGTTCCGCAGAATGAAAGGGAAAAGATAAACAGACAGCCTGTAGGCTTTCCTGGGTTAAAAAGTACTCGGATTGTTTGCCAGAAAATGGAACCATTCATGAGGAATACAGTTCGCTAGGAATGTGTCTGTCTGGGGATTCAGACTCCAGAGACCTTGGAGGATGTTTCTAAGGAGTGACCTGGGCTGAGCGTAGACTCTGAATTCATATAATACCCCGTGCAGTGAGACACTTGCCCCTATTCTTCATAGCTTAACAAGCAAGGCATTAATCGGTCATTGAAACCAGGCTTCCCCAAACTCTGGCCCTCCAGATGTTGCTGAACTACAACTCCCATGGTTCTATGAATGAAATAGATAGGCTGATAATCATGGGAGTTGTAGTTCAGCAACATCTGGAGGGCTGGAGTTTGGGGAAGCCTGATTTAAATGCTTTAAAGCACTGATTTGCGTCTCCAGATGTTTGAAAACTACATTTCCCTAGATGCTTAGCGTCTAGCCCCAAATGCTAATTTATGTATGTCAGCATGGTGACAGTGTCCACCTAACATAACCAGCCTTATATCACATGACTATATTACTGAATTTATCTGACATCCATTTATTACACTGTATCCATGGTAACATGCCTGATGCTATGTATCTAATAATACAATGTGTCTATTGATTAATAAAATGGTTTATCATCGAGTTACAGGCAGCCGATATTTGTATATTTGGACTATCACTGCATATTTTTTTATTAACTACAGTACCCAAGATGCTCAGCTAGCCTCCAAGTCTACGCACATGTCTGACACATATAGAAATATAAACCTTTGCTAAATCCCAGCCACCGTCCGCTGTATAATCTCCCATGGCTTAGATTCTTTATTGCCTTTTTTATAGAATAACAAAGAACATTTTTTTCCTGCTACAGAAAACCTTTTGATCCTGACTGTAGCCACAGAGGACTCGGATGGCCTGAAGCGATTTCAAAGGTCGGCGCAGTGTTTTAACTACAAAGTGAAGGTGAGTGAATGGGAGATAGTTTCACCCAGTCACCAAACCTAACGCTACCCTCGAATTTAACATTCATAAGTAACTGTAGAGGAGACCAGGCTAGGCAGGGGGATGGGCGGACCCATTCACAATTACCAGAAACTAATATAAGGTGCAGGCATGTCAGAGCAAATCCCAATCTGGAGCCATCTGGAGCCAGGAATTTTACTCCGTACCCAGTAATTATCCAGAGATAGGTTCTACTTTCTATGTAACTGTTGGTTGGAATCCAGTGATTGTAGGGTACTGCCTTCTGTGCTTGTTAAAGGCTCATCGTAGAATGCAGTGTAACTTTATCCTTTAATGCAGGAAGTTAGATAATAAAA